CAAGCAAGTCAGAAGAAGTCCGAGAAGAAGCGGAAGGCGAACGATGGTGTGCGCAAAATCTCCAATAGGGAAAAGCGCAAGCTGAGAGTCGGGTCGTGGAACGTGTGCGGGTTCGCAAGGAGTGAGCGCAAGCGGTTGGAAATAGTGGACCAAGAAGAACAAATCGATCTAGATGAAGTGGGGATCCAAGGGACGTGGGGATTGAAGGATGGGGACGTGGTAAGCAAACTAGGGACACACCGGTGGGTAGGGAAGGCAAGAAAGGGCTTAGACCCGAAGAAAAGGGGGGAGGGGGGAGTCGGACTTCTGGTCAAGGAACACCTGTTGACGTGGTAGAAGTACTGGTGAACATAGAGTTCGAGGAAAGCCTATGGCTTAAGATACCTGGGGAACGGGGAGAGAAATTTTGTTTCTACGGAACGTTTACGTCCCACCGTCGTTGAAGAAAGTTCGACGTGGTGGAAGTACTGGTGAACACGGAGTTCGAGGAAAGCCAATGGCTTAAGATACCTGGGGAGGGAACGTACACGTCCCACCGTCGTCGAAGAAAGTCGCAAGCAAGGCGCAGGAGACATTTGGACAAATTGGGGAACAGGTCCAGAGGTTCAGTAGGAAGGGAGAAGTTGTCATGGTGGGCGATTTCAACTCCAGAGTAGGGAAAGCTTCCAGTAGAGGACAGGCGATCGGGCAGCACGGAGAAGACAAAGTGAATGACAACGGAGTGAGGATGCTTGAATTCTTGGGAAGCAACGAGCTGATGGTGTTGAACGGTAGGAGGGAATGCGATAAGCAGGAGTTCACCAGGCAACGGATAGTTTGCAATGAATACTCGGTCCTGGACTACATCCTAGTAGATAGGGGGAGCACACAGATCCCAGAGCCGCGCGTAAGTGCGATAGATATAGGTTCGACCGACCACTTCCTCATGTGGGCAAATATCGACCAATCTAGAAAGATGGAGAGTAGGAAACAGAGTGAAGTGTTTCGGTGGAAAGTAGAGCATTTGGGAGACGAGGGGACACGGGTGGAATTTCAAAAGGGACTGGCCGGTAGTGTAAAACCCTTCAGGAAACTGCTGATAAGCGTCGAAGACGGACAGGTAGACGTACAAGCAGCAGGGGACAGGGTGATTGAAGGGTAGGGAGTCCATAGTGAACACAACGGGAGAGAGAGTAGTGGGAAAGAAGGTGGTACGATGTGGGGTAGCGGTTAAGTGGTGGGATGACGAGCTGAAAGAAGAAATAGGGGAACGTAGAGAAGCCTTCAAGCAGTACCTGAGTGAGGGGTCTGAGGAGAGTTCGGAAAAGTACAGGGCCAATAGAAAACAGGAGAAGGGACTAGTGAAAAAGAAGAAAAAGGGCATTTGGGACAAAGTAGCGCAGAAGGCCAGCGGAGGCCTGGAGGGGAACGTCAAGCAGATGTGGGAAGGGATCAGTGGGATGGTAAAAAAGACCGCCTAAGGGGGGGATACAGGGGTAGCAACTCTGAGAGGTGTGAACGGTGGACTAGTCAGCAGTGGGAAGGGGAAAAGGGAAGATCTAGCAGGACACTACGAGAGACTTGGAGTGCCCTCGGAGAACGAAGATTTTGACCAAGTGTTCAAGAAGGAAATGGACGCATGAGCCCAGAAAGAAGAGACATCGAAGGCAGACGTTGGGAACGTAGAACTAGAAAAGGAGTTTTCTAAGGACAACGTTGAGGCGTGTGTGAACAAGCTGCAGTGCCATAAAGAAGCAGGGGCGTATGGAACAGTCGACGAGTTCATGAAGTTTGGGGGGAAGGGGATGGTCCAGCTGATGGTACTGCTGTACAATTGGGTGTGGAAGAACGAGTACCGTAAATGGCACAATATAAGAAACCCCGGTGGTATCATTTTGGGGTTTGAAAATAGTACCACCCGGTCTGCGATACTGTGGGGGGTGTGATATATTGTGTACCCCCGGTGATAAAGTGCAGCTCGCATCGGTCCCACGGGGGTGTGATAAATAAGGGGGTGTGATAGCGCGTCCGAACGCCCACAGCAAGGGGGTGTGNTACCGTAAATGACACAATATAAGAAACCCCGGTGGTAACATTTTGGGGTTTGAAAATATTACCACCCGGTCTGCTATACTGTGGGGGGTGTGATATATTGTGTACCCCCGGTGATAAAGTGCAGCTCGCATCGGTCCCACGGGGGTGTGATAAATAAGGGGGTGTGATAGCGCGTCCGAACGCCCACAGCAAGGGGGTGTGATAAACAAGGGGGTGTGATAGCGCGTCCGAACACCCACAGCGTGTGTTTGGGGGTGTCATAACAAACGAACAGCCACAGCGTGTGTTTTGGGGTGTGATAGAATGAGGGGTGTGATACCGATACACTGCACACCATTACCGTATAGAGTCGAACCGCTGCTGCCGTACACCTGAACGGGTGTGGTATTGCGGAGGTGTGATAGGTATACATGCCTGCACCAACACGTGTAGTGTATTTAGGGACCTACGGTACCTAAAGGGGCGCGGGACAAAAAACAAAGTGGCTCAACCGAGGTGAGGGAACGCCTGAGCACATGGCCTCGGCGAGATCAACCTTCTCAACGCAAAAAAAGTTGGAAACACGATACGGGCTTGAATGGAGCAAGAAAGTATTGTAAGTCGAAGGTATCTCGCCCAATACGATGATTGGCGGTGGGCACAGAGTGCGCCATCCTTTCTGCCCCCCTCACAAAAGGTTGGCTGCTGCGTGCCTTGCTTTGGGTACGAACCAAAGAGAGTTACCTAGGTACCTATACCGGTACGTAAGAACACCACGAACAAGAATCAACGACCGCAAACCGCAAACCAACGAAACACCAACAACGTTGCACTCCACGCGGCGAAGAAAACAGGCGACTTTTTCTTCACACTCGCTCAAAGACGCCCGACGGCAGAGAAAGATACGCCAGGAAAAACCCAAGGAAACATGAGAAGACACCACAAGCCATTTTCTCAACACTAGCATCGCTGCCGATGCCTCACAGCTCCCCGCCCTCGTCGTCGCTCACGTCCACCACCACCACACCCGTCTCGTCGTCATCGTCGATGTCCAACACCTCCAGGAAGTTCTCGTTCTTGCCTCCTGTCGGCGGGTCAGCCTTGTCCGCAGCGTCCGATGGCCCGCGGATGGGCTCCCCCTTGGCGTTGGAATCGAGCTCCTTGTTGGCCCAGGCCTCGTCTCCCGACCCGTCGTAGGGCAGCAGCAGGCCAGCCTTCCTCCAGCTCGAGCGGATTTCGTCCGCGGTCAAGGCATCCCACGCCTTCTTGACCCACTGTGCGACCAAGCCCCGCGAAGGGGGCTCCGGATAGCCCCGCTCGTTGCGCGTGACGTCTTTGGAAGCCATGTGGTCGTCGTAGAGCTTGGACATGTTTGCCTTGAAGATCTTGTTGACCAGGCCATCGCAAGGCTGGAGCTTTGGAGTCAGGCCTCCCGGGATGAGGAACAGCGTCGTGTTGGACTCCTTCATCGCCTTGGTAGACGCGTCCGTCTTGTGGACGGTGTAGTCGTCCCACGCAAGAAGCGTGTCAGGCTGACGGTAGCCGCCCAGGCGGTCGAGCCGCCCCGGGCGCCGGTTCCACACCTGCGGCACCCACACCTCGTCGAACACCCGCTGGGAGTGCCATCCCTTGGGGTCCACGGCGTAGGCCATACCTCGCGGGTACGCGCAGCCCTTCTTGTCCCTGTAGTCTTTGAACTCGCGCTCGATGCTGTTGGCGGCGGGGGACTTCCCCTTCGGAGTGGGCTGACCCTTGAAGATGAGAAGGGGCTGCAGCTTGGTGCCGTCGGCGAACACCGTCAGAACCGATGTGATGCGCATCTTCTCCTTGCCGCCGGTTTTGACGGAAATCTCCTTGTCGCCTGTGGCCTGCGGTATTCCGAACAGCGAAACCGACATCAACGTGGGGTGCGTCGAAACGACTTTTGTTGTAAAGATTCGGAAAGTGGCAGCAGTGCGTGCAAAAACACATGATCAGAATCACAGGAGAACAGGAAACGAAGGAAAAGACGAAAATTTCGCACACGTAGAAAGTTCATCATCAAAAGGGTGGCCCAAAAGAATCGTTGGCACAGGAAAGGACAACATTGCTACATCTAACGCAGTAAGAGCAAAAACTAGAGCAAAACTATTACGTACGTACTCACGTTCACAGTGTCCTTCCCCGGGCTCTCGAACCACGTGGGGGTTTCGTCCATGTTGCCGATCTGCGCCAAGTCGAACTTGAGACGCGGACCCGAAGGAATCACAGCGCCACTCCCACCCCCGCTGCCGCTCGCGCTGGCTCCCGCCCCTGCCGCAACCCCCAGGCACTCGACTCCGTCCGCAAGTTCGAGCGCGGAAGGCACGTCGTACTTCAGCGTCCTCCACTCCTTGATAGCCTGCATGGCGATCACGGGCCAGCCAGAAGGAAGTTTCTGGCCTTGTCGGGTGACCGCTCGCACAGAGAAGCGGTAGACCCTGAGAAATCTCCTTGATAGCCTGCATGGCGATCACGGGCCAGCCAGAAGGAAGTTTCTGGCCTTGTCGGGTGACCGCTCGCACAGAGAAGCGGTAGACCCTGAGAAACCTCCTGCACCACTGGTTCTGCCTGTTGTTGTACTTCTGGCAGCCCTGGAGATCGGATGGCGCCGGCCTCTCTCCGAAGAAGTTCGGGTTGAGTTCGACGGCCTTGTTCTTGAGCATTTTCGTCGAAACACGGGCGGAGATGCCTTCAGAACGCAGCTCGTTGATCCAGTCCACGATCTCGCCCTCGGCCGCTGTGTGCGTCCGGATCCGTCCGGCATGCAGCGACAAGCGCTTGTTGGCTGGCGTCTTCTTGCGCTTCGCTCCGCCCTTGTACGTGTCCATTTTCGCCAGCGCGGCTTCGTACTTGTCGATCTCCTTGACCCACAACGCCAACGTCGATTTGTCGCGAATGCCCAGGACTCTGCTCGCGTAGGTTATCCCAACAGTCCCGTCCGGCCCTTGTGCCCCCTTGACCCTCCTCTGTGAGTACCTCACCGCATCCACCTTAAATTTCAGAGGGTAGCGCTTCCGTTGGCTTCCGCCACCAAACTCGGGGATCGGGAAGCCCGGCGGCTCCAACTCCAGCTGTCCTTTCTTCCTCTTGTTCTTGTTCTCTGCCGGCGTACCGAAGAGAACGCCGCCGAGCCCATCTCCCCGCTCTGTTTCTCCGGGAAACATCATGTCGCCGGATGCATCACCTTTGGCCACCGGCGCTCCTCCCGCTGCCGGCGTTGGAGCGGGCGCCGGTGCTGAAGCGGGCGCCGGTGCTGGAGCGGGCCCCGGTGCTAAAGCGGGCGCCGGTGCTGAAGCGGGCGCGGGTGCTGAAGCTGGCGCCGATGCTTGACCTGGCGCCGGTGCTGAAGCTGGCGCCAGTGCTGGGACGGGCGCCGGTGCTGGAGCTGGCGCCGATGCTGGAGCTGGCACCGGTGATGCTGGACCTGGAGGCGCAGGGGGTGTGCCACCCACCCTAGAGAAGACAAACGGAGACAAAAAAACGTGTGTGCGGGAAGGCACGAAGCGGTTCAACGGTGGAACGCACGGAAACGTGTGTCGTGTGGGCAGGAACCAAAGACGGTATGCTGATTGTTTTCTAGTCGACAAGGGCACCGATTCCAAATGTCGAAAACTCGTCGGCGGTTGAAAGCACAGGTGAATAAAAAATATGCAAAGCAGGCACCATTGAAAATTAACCAGGGTGGTATGGATGCCAGCTGCAAAACAAGAGGCAGCATTTCCACGACACATAACGCCATGCAGGAACATAAACGATAAAATGTGCCCAATACCGACGTAGGTATGGCCATAAAAATAATACAACGCAACAAATGACGGAACGAGCACGCAATCGTTTACCAGGAACGTGTTGAGCCACACGCACACAAAAACAACTCACAACACGTGTGCCGGGAACGTGTGGCTAAAAGAAAAAGGCCGCACGCAATATAAATAAAGTAACGATAAATGTACCTACCGGGAGAGTGTGGCGCAAAAAAAAAAAAATACAGCCACACGAACCCTGGGTTGGCGTAAAGGCTAACCCACAATTGCACGTTTCGAGACCACACGCGGACTGATACTACGGTACGCCAAATCCACGAAGCACAAACCATGCACACTCACTTGGATCTTTCTTCCGTCCCAGCGGAAGTGGTGGGCTCCTCGTCCACCACGTCCACCAACTGAGATGCTTGGCTGCTGCGCGTTGATTCGTCGGCTTCGGTGCTCGAACGCGCTGCTGGCATCAAGCCAGCAACTGGCTGATGCTGAGGCGATGCAGAGGCTGTCATGTTTGCGCCTGTTGCTGCTCCAGNATACGCGGACTAATACTACAGTACGCCAAATCCACGAAGCACAAACCATGCACACTCACTTGGATCTTTCTTCCGTCCCAGCGGAAGTGGTGGGCTCCTCGTCCACCACGTCCACCAACTGAGATGCTTGGCTGCTGCGCGTTGATTCGTCGGCTTCGGTGCTCGAACGCGCTGCTGACATCAAGCCAGCAACTGGCTGCTGCTGAGGCGATGCAGAGGCTGTCATGTTTGCGCCTGTTGCTGCTCCAGCTCCTTCTGCTGCTGTTAGATCAACAGCAGCAGCAGGAGCAAGAGTGCCGGCAGGGAGAGCCTCTCTCGTAGACGAAGAGTGCGCGGGCCCAAAGAAGGAGGTGATCTGCTGTGGCCCCTGTGCTGCTACAGACGAAGCAGTTGCCGAAGCAGCGGTCGAAGGAGCGGGGGTACTACCGGTAGTGCCGGCTACACTCTGCTCTGCCTGCATGTTCATGTTCTTTGGGGTCTGCATGCGGGGTGTTCCTCCGCACACAGCTGTGTGTGTGGTGTGATGATGCGCAAGGGCAGATGCTGTCACCCCGGGTCATA